GTGGTCAGTTCACGTTTCATCGTTAGCTGGCTGTACTATTATTGTTGTTGATGTTGTTGTTGATGATGTTGTTGTTGATGTTGTTGTTGTTGTTGTTGATGATGTTGTTGTTGATGATGTTGCTGTTGATGATGTTGCTGTTGTTGATGTTGTTGTTGTTGTTATCACTGTGACGGGTAAAGATGTTAAAATGTCTCATAACATAAACATTAGTTCAACATTTCAGCATTACACAACCTATCGCAAATGATGTCATCATCATCGTCATCATCATCATCGTCACTATCATCATCATCATTGTCATCATCATCAGCAGCAGCAGCATCATCATCATCAGCATCATCATCATCCGCGCGCCTGGTGTGATTATGCAATAACGAAAAACAAATCAACAAATACATTGTTTGAAATACGAGACACCGCGTCATCATCATCCTCAACATCGTCATCATCATCATCACCATCGTCGTTATCATCACCGTCATCATCGATATCGTTGTCATCATCACCATCATTACTTCCTGTTCTTCTTTAATCATTATCATCATCATTCTCGTCATCATCGTCAGTCTCATCATCTTTCAGTTTACGATGTTTACAGTCCTCACTTACTTCACATGTTGCAATGAACAAATAAATATAAATTAATAAATAAAATGATTAATAAATTTAAACATAATTATACGTCCCTGTTATCAAGATCATCAGTATAACAACAACGTCGTCATCATCACCACGATTGCAATCATCATCATCATCACCATCGCGATCGCAATCATCACGACCGTAATCATCATCATCACTCGCTCATCGTCAGCACTTCGCGATATCTTATATCGGGACCTCCCAGGGCGCCAAACTAATCACGTGGCAAATAATCAAAGATGGCGGCCTCGTCCGCCATGTTGCTTTTAATACCGGAAGTGGTTCATTCGTATGCCGGAAGCGATGAAGGTGCTATATTTGTAACTCTATAGCGATGACGGCGATGAGGAAAAAAGTGATGATGATGATGATGATGATAAGCGCGTAGAAGATTCAAGATGACAACGATAATGATGATGACTTTGATGATGACGATGATGATATAGACTTACAGCATACAATAAAATAAACATTTTTTTATTTGGCCTCAAAACAAATTGAACAATAAATAAATTAAACTATAGTGACCATAACGTCTTCATCTTCTAGACTGACGTCATCATCTTTTTATGACGTCATCATCACAGTCGTTGTCATCATCGTCGTCGTAATCATTGTATGATGTCATTGATGTCACTTGAAGTGCAATATGTAGCGTGTTAAAAGACGCATCAAGTTGATTGTTGAACCAGTTGCTGCTGATGTTCGCGTTTTTGTTTTGTCTTGTTGTTGTAAGAGTTGTTGATGTTAT